GACGTGCATATATTACCTGTACGGTGCCTTACCTGGCCCGTAGACCTAAGAGACGTGCATATATTACCTGTACGGTGCCTTACCTGGCCCGTAGACATAAGAGACGTGCATATATTACCTGTACGGTGCCTTACCTGAACACAGACCTAAGAGTCGTGCATATATTACCTGTACGGTGCCTTACCTGGTTCCTAGACCTAAGAGACATGCATATCTTACCTATACGGTGGCTTACCTGGTCCCTAGACCTAAGAGACATGCATATATTACCTGTACGGTGCCTTACCTGGTTCCTAGATGCATATATATTACCTGTACGGTGCCTTACTTGGTCCCTAGATGCATATATTACCTGTACGGTGCCTCACCTGGTCCCTTGATCTAAGAGGCGTGCATATATTACCTGTTTGGTGCCTTACCAGGTTCGTAGACCTAAGAGACGTGCGTGCATACATTTCATGTACAGTCAACTGAAGCATGAAGAGCGGCAGAAACTAGAGCAGAGCTCCTACCCGGCTTGGACAACTTTAATCTGCTCTTTCCTTGTCCCTACACCTAAGAGCCGAACCTGTACAGTGTCTTACCTTGTCCCCAGACCTAACATCCGTACATATATTACTTGAACAAGGAGGTATCGCTGGTCTTTCGAGGTATCGCTGGCTAAAAGCCGGAAAACCGACAGCACAAATCGCCGAGGTCACCTACGGGTGAAACTACAGTGCTTCCGTCGTTCAACTATGTCAACCAATAGAATGGCACCATTCTACACCGCACTGAACCATCCTATATAGCTGACCAATGGCAGCGTGGCTCTTCACCGTGGCTGACCGCCGTAAATAACGACCTGCGATACCTCACTGAGTTTAGCTCGGAACTCGAATGTTTTTGTTGTCAATCTTATACTTACCAACAATTTCTGTTGTCAGTATGGTTGTATTTAAGCTTAAAAACAGAGCCTGCTTCTACCTGTTCAAAATTATGAGAAACCAAGTACGCTACAGCTCTAGCGGCCTTAGGTTTTTAGACCCGAAGAAAAAAAGGGGGAGGGGGGGGGCGTGGTCTGTCTGTGGAAATCCCCTGTTTCCAGCAGCTGAAATCGGCTTTTAAGATAACCAAAACTCGCCCAGACTTGCCTCTGCACCTCAGCTACATTCAGGGGATTTCCAACGGGTAAGCTTTCCAATTCTGGTGCAAAACAAAGGGCTGTGACGTAACTGGACTTTCCTTGACTGGCTTGAGCTACTGCAAACGTACAGAATATCTACATTTGTAGCTAGTTGCTCACTTATCTAAAGCTCAGACACTAGGCGTAAAATAAGACGTGAGTCAGTGCTCAGCTATGGCTATCGACCTCAAGCTCTTTCTGTGTGTCACGCAGCTCATGCTGTATTGTTTGGGTAGGTGTGGAGGTTAACTTAAAGCTCCTTGGTCACGCTTTATGTCTTATCATTGCTCATCATTGTTTAAAGGATCTCACAATACTGTTGTTGTAGTCAGCAGCTACACTTGTACATAGCAAGCCTGGTTCTGAAACACTCCAAAGCTAGCCAGTATAGGAACGGACCAGTGTTCTAGCCACGTGTCTATTTTTCTGTCATTCAATCGAATTTTGCTGCTCGTGACAGACAAAAACTTTTGCCCAATCTGTCATCTTTGTGAAAAACTGGTGAAATATGGGACTGTTGCACCCACAAGCCTTCAGTGCTTGACATTATAAAATCGAGAAAACAGAAAAAAATTTTCAGGATGCTGGCTATGCTAAAGGAAAAAAAAGTTGTGGAAAAAAATTAGGGTCAGTAGGTAGGGATTATCTTATTTCTAGACTTTGGCGATCTCTAGTGATCCAACCCATACAATACAGTTTTATGACACATTTTGTTGGCAAACCAATTGTACAACGTTTCATAACTCAGGTGTCAGATGATTGAGCTAGAAAAGGTCAATCATTAAAAAAGATCCAGAAGATCCAGATTAAAAAAAAAGCTAGGGCCGGAAGTTTTTTCTATGGCCGGCTGGGAAACAGGAAACAATTTACATTTTTTTTCAGTACCTTGAAAATGTTGTCAGGCTACTGGATTATCAGTGTCCTGATTTTTACAGTGTACTGTATCATCTTTTACAGGTGTCTTTGGAAGGTCCGTACCCATCTGTGAAGGAGGAAAAGTCTGGAATGTCCTGCTGCGAGTGTGTGAGTGTCCACAGTGGACGTACTGGTACTACCCCACACACGGATGTGAGCCGTGCCGTGAGCGGTGTAGGGGGGAAGTAACATGGTGTGAAGCACAACCTGAATGTCGAGGTATGCACAGATGATGAGTCAAGCCTCCACCGGGCCTTCTTAAGGGGACTAGGATATTCACTCACTCACTCACTCACTCACTCACTCACTCACTCACTCACTCACTCACTCACTCACTCACTCACACTCACTCACTCACTCACTCACTCTCATTCACTCACCATACTCATTCACTCACTCATAGTAACTCTCACCATACTCATTCACTCACTCATTCACTCTCACCCTACTCATTCACTCACTCATTCACTCTCACCATACTCATTCACTCACTCATTCACTCTCACCATACTCATTCACTCACTCACTCTCTCACTCATTCACTCACCACTCATTTACTCATTAACACTGAGCTGATGTTTCGATGACTGTCTTTTCTTAAACTTAGCTGTTGTTAAACAAGTGATTATAAATGTGAATAACTTTGGTAATCAATCTTTTACCAACCTGATGAAATAATCCATGGCTGAATAACTAAGTGTGTGAAATGTTAATACATACTTTCATTGCTATTTTATTCAGATGAAATAAACAGGTTAGTTTTTTTTATAAACTTAGTACTGGTTTTTCTATGTAAAATTGTATAGTCCTTAGATTTTAGCACCTCAGTCTACCATCAATTCACTATGTGAGAGTCCCTTACAAATAAAAAAAGTTCCTTACAAGTTACAAATAAAAAAAGTCCCTTACAAATAAAAAAGTCCCTTACAAATAAAAAAAGTCCCTTACAAATGAAAATTCCAGATGAGGTCACTACCAAAAACAAAAAGGGAAACCCCATATAAAGCTTACGGATTATTCCATTTACACGATGGGGAGGTAAATAAATCTAAGCCTTCTCCCCGCATTCTTTGGGTCTCTGCTTAATACATGTAAATTGTGGAATCATTTGTTGCACATCACACAGTACAGTACCATAAGGTGGCCCGCATGCCCTTTTCTATAAGAGTATAATCGACTGTTTTAATTCTACGTAGAGGATAGACAGGCCACTCTAATTCAATGTAGTGTGTAATTGGCACATTTTGTGTATAGCGTTATTTGCCGTTTTAAATCTATGTAATGCGTTGTAGCTACCCAGAATTTATCGTAAAATGTAATAGTGAGGCATCTTTAATTCAGCTAATACGTAGCTGGCTCTTGAAATTTAGCACTGAGCATAGTCTGGACCCCCCATGCAGGCTCTCCTATAATGATTTTCTTTCTTTCTTTCTTTCTTTCTTTCTTCCTAACGTCAGAGGAGTAATGACGTCGACTCCGGCAAACACCTAGGTCCTCCTCCCTCAAGCATGTCCAATAATGTCTTCAGACCGTTCATTGTTATGACTCCCATCTTAAGCTGTGTCATAAGTCTTCTGCTATCCCCACGAAGGTACACTCGTCCTCCCTCTCCTCTCTTGATTCCCTTCTCTTCAAGTCTCGTCATTGACCAAGTAGTTGGACCATTGTGCCTTGATGTTCTTCAATGTAAAATGATGATTTTAATGTTACAGGATATTTGCAGTCTCTGGCATCAACAGTGAAGCCAGGCTCTACAGAATCACCATGGACTGTTCCCCCTGCATGGCAGATCAGTGTGCCAGGTGATGTTACATTTCGGTGCCTGTCATAAAATATCTGGTGCAATGGCCATGTGGGTAGGGCCTGTTGTGTCCCAAACCGTGCTTTGTCCCAAACCATGCCTGGGCATGGTTTGAAACACACGGCGCGTGTCCCAAACCGTGCCTCGGGACTGAGCACAGTTTCGGACACGCGGGGACGGTCCCAAACCGTGCCTGACCGTGCACAGTTCTGGACACACAAGGGCCTTGTCCCATTCCGTGCTTTGGGGGTGGAGCTTATTGTTTTAAGGGAGGAGCCTTCTCGTGGTGTTGTTTACTCTTTTAGGCAGCCATCTTTGTTTTTCGTCGGGGCAAGAATAAGAATCGGTGTATTTCCTGCTCTGTAAAGTACATTTTTACATTTCACGCTGGTCTACGACTTACATGTACTGTCCAAACAGAGTGTCTTGTATCATTCTGCAACACAGTGCGAACACAGTTCTTGATACAACACAGCACGTAGTATACCCAAGAAAGCAGACTGACCCAAGCTCAGTCCAGGAATCGGAAACAACACTTGCTTATCCACCAACCCCACGCACGGATCTGGATAGTTCTGACGCGTATCCACGACAGACTAGAGCAAATCAACTTGTAGATAAACGAAGCGTTTGTTGAGAACCGTGCCTCAGGTCGAGCACAGTTCTGGACACACGATGGCCTTGTCCCAAACCATGCCCGGGCACGGTCTGGGACCCTCGGCGCGCGTCCCGAACCGTGCCTGGGGACTGAGCACAGTTTGGGACACGCGGATGCCTTGTCCCAAACCGTGCTTGGGCATGGTTTGGGACACTCGGCGCGTGTCCCAAACCATGCCTGGGGCTAATCTACATTCTGGGACACGCAGGGGACTATCCAGAACCGTGGCTGACCGCACACAGTTCTGGACACGTATTATTTAAGCTTGCGTGCTAGGGGACTGAACACAGTTCTCATAAGATGTGTCCCAAGCGAGTTTCCTCCTTGTATTAACTAGTCTCTGTATATTATTATCTAAGTTCATGTCGAACAAACATAAGACTAAGTTGAGAAAACTGCGTTTTGAAAGCACATGCTGTACACAGACTCGCAAAATCTCACGTAATCTAGCCATATAAGAAGTCGTGGGCGTGAATAATCATGCTTAGGTTCCCGCCAATCACTATGATTGACAGCACTTCCGGGCACGGTTCTGGACAGTCAGGCCGTGTCCCGTTCTGTGCCCGCTCAGGCACGGAATGGGACGGGCACAGTTTGGGACACAACAGGCCTAGGCCATGTGCCACACCAATATAATTTGTTGTTTCTTGGATTTGTCCTGTCCATTTTTTTCTGATTTGCAAAAAAAAAAAAATTTTCAGGTTCTAAATCAACTGCAAAATGCACAATAAAAGACATATTTTGCCACGGACGGTTGAAGAAAGTCCTCTTCTTCCTAGTTGTTAAAGTTTTTCTTTGTAACAATGCAACTTTGTTTCATTTAAAGTTCAAAATATATTGTTTTAATTATAAACCAGCCTGGTATGTTGACTTCATAGCTCATATCCTAACATTTCCGGCTATCATGGGGTGCCTTGGCCAGTTTTTCGCCCTGTCGCTTCATATTTTTTCTAAAAAAAATCCGAGAAGCAACAAATTAAATTTGTGTGGCCCAAGGGAAAAAATATTTGTGTTTCCTGTTTCAGTCCTGAAAAAACTAGGGCAGGTAGGTAGGGATGATTTCTTTCTTTCTTTTTTTTTTTTGTAGACTTTGGCGATCCAACTTTCATTTTCAATGTCATATCTTGGAAAACCAATTGTAATGTTTTATCACTCAGGTGTCAAATCATGGAGTTGGAAAAGGACAATGAGCTCAAAAAAAATTATGTCCTACACATAAAAAGGCTAGGGTTCTCAATTTCTATAGGGTCGGTCAGGAAACAGGAAACATAACATACATTTTTTTCTTAGGCCTGATATTAATGTATTCGACTTGCATTCCAGCAAGTCATACATGTAGAAAAAAATTAGTACTGCTTAAATTTACATTGTGAAGCCCACAGCATTTAAGAAAAGGTATATGGGAGATAAACGCACCACAGTCTACCAGTGGCTAGCCTCCTGCTGTTACAGTACTTAGTCAACTGGCCCAAGAGCTACAGAAACAGTTATTTTTTTATTCTTTTTATTCTTAATTTCAGACTTGAAATCATTGGAGCTGGCAGTCATTGTCATTGGAGCAGTTCTGTTCATAGCTGTTTTGGTAATCATCTACATTGGGTGGACTGTGCATAAGCTGAAGATGCAAAGGTCAGTTATGTCCTCATGGATTTTATATTCATTATATAATTGTGCTATAGTCAACTATTGTATTTTGAGATGTGTTTTTTGTACATAGCTTATCAACAATATATATAAATATGTTCGTGTGAGTTTGAATAATTGTACTCTCAGAAAACAGCTACTAAACTGACCAAAAAAATTCTGATACTTTTGAAGTTTCTGATGCACCGAGTTGTGTATTTTTAACACAAATCTCTGTAGAAAGGCATATACATACATGTAGGTTAGATAAGCTTGTGATGACAGTCAGGACTGAGTTAAGAGTCTTTTTTTGTGCAGCCAAGTCTTTTATTCTGCTGACATTTTGTGCAATTGGTAATCGTCTGTCACCTTCCTCAGGGCAATTCTGACTGACTCACATTGCACTGCAGCACAGGTGTCGCTGCTATAGATGCATTCCATTTGGTAACGTGTAAAAAAAAGAGTCTCTTTACTCTGTCAGTCTGTGACTTACCACCCTGATAAAACTATTCACGGATGAAAGTCAAGACTGCTTTACCTTTTGATATATTGTTAGACATGACAAAACAACTTGTACTCTTGTGTTTTCAGGCCTAATAAAGATCACACAGTTGAGAAGATGCGGTACGAGCCTGAAGGTGCTCTAACTGATGAGGACAGAAGATCCACACGTCTCCAGCCTGATACACAGGAATCTGAGGAGCTGCTGTCTCATGGTAAGGCCTAGGGAAAAAAAAAAAACAATGTTCAGTTTGGGCTCTTATGCCCTCATATTAAGACCAAATCATTTGGCAAATGACACATGACCACAGAGCGATATTCACATGTTGGCAAGGTTCAAGGTTGGCATACACCACTTATATTTAAGTTATAATCCTATTGAATGATTTTTTTTTTCATATCTTAAGACAAAACTGTATGTTGGCTCCGGTGCCCTCAGAACTTGAAAACCAAATGACCTACACTTTTACTAAAATCTCTATTTTGGGGTTTTTGAGAATATTTGTTACTGAAAAGAAATACAAAGGCTTTATTAACACCGAAAAGCACTGTATGGGGTTTTGGAGAACAATTGTTACAAACTTGGGGGTATTGAAAAACTTAATTCTGGATGGAAATGGCTGACATGGAACTGTCCATTTTGGAATGGGGAGGGATTAAATGGACTGAAATATGCTGTGTTTGCTCATGAGCAAATGTTTCTTTTTTTTTTTACACAAAGCATACAAAAAAGCAATCTTAAACAAGAACACACACATGTACATACATTGACAGACATATTTTTGGCAGCAATCAGTGATATTACAAAACAGGGTATAAAGGTTTCCACTTTTTGTTGTGTTTACATATTTTGTATTTAGTTGTCACAATATTTTTCTCTATTCTGTATACATATTTAACGAAGGCAATAAACGTGTGGATGGATACATGTTGGCCTTTCTAGTTATGTTTACCGAAGGAAAACATTTTGTTTTTGCTCTGTTTCTTCCTCTTCTTCTTCTCCAAATAGTGACCGCTGACCTGACCAATGACATGATTTGTTGACGTCTGTCACCATAGTGACTGGTGTTGGGTTACATAATGTTGCAATTTCATGGTCTGCTCTGCTCCTGTCACCATATACTGCTAGTATGTGAATGTGCTTGACTAAGAATTAACAGAGCAAACCATGTCCGAAGGTAAACATTATGCATTTGCAAATGTATATGTTACTTCTCTAGTTAACATGTGTTTTCACTGCTGTTGCAGGTGCCCAATGTGCACATGAGGGAACAGCTCCATCTGATGACACAGTCAGACACAGCCCGGTCAGTGACACAGAGCTGCACAAACCTGCAGTGGCAGAGCATGGAGAAATCCTGCAGCAGCACCGAGATGCTGAGAACATCAGGCAGTAGTTCCTAGACCTGGATAGCTATGTAGGGTTGGTGGCCAGAGTTTCTTTTTTGATCTGGTGTGTTACGCTGAAAGGTGGTTATACTGGCTATACAGATACAGATCTACATTTGATCAGAACCCCCCCCCAAAAAAAAAAAAATTAATGATCCCGGATGAATGTCTGCAATGTCTACTAGTTCCAGACTTGTAACAATATTTAGGTTCAAGGCCAAAAAAAGTGAATGTCTGGTACAAAAAAATCATGTCACATTCCCCTTTTTGTTCTAAATCACCTGAAATCTTCAATAGTAAAAAATTTGCGCTGCAAAATGAAGAAAACGTTGCCATTGGGCATCATCAAGTGTCGACCTTCGTAAATTATGTGGCAAGAGTTTTGCCCAGACGTGCCCCACAAACAACATATCTTGCTTCTAAACCCTGGTAGCGAGGTGCTCGCTGCAAAATGTTGTGGTAAAGATGCCACATTTCCATGTTATTTACAAGTCCAGACCTGATCCTAAACCTCTGGACTTGAATCCAAACCTGGACATGAACATTGGTTTAGGTTGAAATTAAAGCACTTACAGGCAGTGAAGTTTGGTCTGGACAACAAGAGAAAGGGAAACAAAACAGCATTAAAGGCAAACTAAACTGTCGGAACAGACTTCAGAAAGTATTGAGAGGAATGTTAACATTTTGTCCATTTTTCTTCTTTTGTATAGCAGTTAGGATGTTAACTAGAAAGTTGAGGTAACTTTTGTTATGCTGAGGTCACATTTCCAAACCGGGGCTCGGCCAGGGACTCTTGTGGAACGAAAAGTATGATCATATAAAAGACATTAAAGCACAAAAATGTTGAAAAAATTAATAATGGGAACTATTTGACCGTCCGGGCCCCATTTTGGAAATGTGACCTCAGCATTACAGATTTTATGCAAAGTAGGTGTATTTTATCAGCATATATTTACATTACATTACATGTATCATTATATTTTACCATTTTGTATTGATCATAAAAGATCGTGTGTAATGTTAGTACATGTAGCACAATCCAGGTATTTCTATTACTGCAGTGTCTTTTGGTTATGTTGAGGGTATGCAGGTTCGACCTCACTTTGAATATATGAATGAATGAAGACCTTTATTGCACATTTTACCACACCCGGCTAAGTACAGGTCACAGCAAAACAAGATGAAGAGACACATTTTTAGGGAAACTATCATTATATGAATCAACTTCTCACTTTTCAGTTATTGTAGAAATAAAAGAACAGATGTGTTTTTCGATGGATGGTTTGCCTATTTTCTATAGTGCTTAAGTGTATGAAATTAGAAAATAGGTTTTGTACAAACCTATACGGCTCATTTCTTTCTTTGCTATACAGTCCACATTCTATTACAAAATAATGACTACTGGGGACCTATAGTGTGTCACAAATGCTCAATGACCTGCAGTGGCCTCTCCTCTCTGAAAGGAGGATGAGCGCGCGCCTTAATCGACATTCTACAAAATAATTCGTAATAAAATAAACATCCGCTCAACTAAGCACACCTGTCCTTGGTGCTGAATGCAAACTACACAAGAGTAAATACACCAGTCATTGGTACTGAACAGCATTGTAACACCTGTCCTTGGTGCTGAACACCATCCACACAAGTAAACACACCTGTCCTTGGTGCTGAATGCAAACCACACAAGAGTAAACACACCAGTCATTGGTACTGAACAACATTGTAACACCTGTCCTTGGTACTGAACACCATCCACACAAGTAAACACACCGGCAATTGGTACTTAACAACATTGTAACACCTGTCCTTGGTACTGAACACCATCCACACAAGTAAACACACCTGCAATTGGTACTGAACAACATTGTAACACCTGTCCTTGGTACTGAACACCATCCACACAAGTAAACAAACCGGCAATTGGTACTGAACAACATTGTAACACCTGTCTTTGGTACTGAACACCATCCACACAAGTAAACACACCTGTCCTTGGTGCTGAATGCAAACTACATAAGAGTAAACACACCGGCAATTGGTACTGAACAACATTGTAACACCTGTCCTTGGTACTGAACACCATCCACACAAGTAAACACACCGGCAATTGGTACTGAACAACATTGTAACACCTGTCCTTGGTACTGAACACCATCCACACAAGTAAACACACCGGCAATTGGTACGGAACAACATTGTAACACCTGTCCTTGGTACTGAACACCATCCACACAAGTAAACACACCTGTCCTTGGTGCTGAATGCAAACTACATAAGAGTAAACACACCAGTCATTGGTACTGAACAGCATTGTAACACCTGTCATTGGTACTGACCACCACCCGCTCAACTAAGCACACCTGTCCTTGGTGCTGAATGCAAACTACACAAGAGTAAACACACCAGTCATTGTTACTGAACAGCATTGTAACACCTGTCCTTGGTGCTGAACACCATCCACACAAGTAAACACACCTGTCCTTGGTGCTGAATGCAAACCACACAAGAGTAAACACACCAGTCATTGGTACTGAACAACATTGTAACACCTGTCCTTGGTACTGAACACCATCCACACAAGTAAACACACCTGTCCTTGGTGCTTAATGCAAACTACATAAGAGTAAACACACCAGTCATTGGTACTGAACAGCATTGTAACACCTGTCCTTGGTGCTGAACACCATCCACACAAGTAAACACACCTGTCCTTGGTGCTGAATGCAAACCACACAAGAGTAAATACACCAGTCATTGGTACTGAACAGCATTGTAACACCTGTCCTTGGTACTGAACACCATCCACACAAGTAAACACACCTGTCCTTGGTGCTGAATGCAAACTACATAAGAGTAAACACACCAGTCATTGGTACTGAACAGCATTGTAACACCTGTCATTGGTACTGAACACCATCCACGCAAGTAAACACACCAGCTATTGATACTGAATAACACATTTCAAGGTGCTATTCGATACCAATTGCTGGTGTGGGGTTTAGCATTTAG